CTTTGATGAAAGGATATTACACATCGTATGTACTCAACACGGGTGACGGTTGTAATATCTTTTCCCGAATGTCAGTTCCAGCAGTTCAGGCAGGTCAGCAAAGTAGAGACACCGAACAAAGGAAGCATGCTCTGCACGTCATCGACAGGACGCTTTTCCTATGTTTCTCCTAGTGCTGCTTCATAAAAAAGATGGAAAGACATTCATAATCGTTTTTCTCAGCTGCAGTTTAGACCATAAACTGCATTCTCTTCCTCTGTAGGCTTGGATAAGAATAAGCCAACATTTTTGAAGATCCTAGAGGCAAGTAAATGCTCTCTCCTCCCTCTCTGGCTTCAAGTTGCGGTTTGGCTGCCGCCTGGCAGGGACCAGCCTGGCAGGGACCAGCAGCGTCCAGCATGTGGACGTGAGAAGCTTCCTAGAGACGCGAGAAAAACTGGATGTTTTTCAATGCCTCCTCCCCGACACACACCCCAGACAACTACCTCAGACGGTCTCTTGGGGGTCTCAGGATCAGAACTGTGCCTGAGGCAGCTGACGGACTTGAAAAAAAAAAACCCTCGATTCTCGGGGAGACTTGCCAATGTTGTTGCTAGGTTCCATGTGGAGAAAACATTTGCGTGAAGGAGCAGCCCGACTGCGAGGAGAAAGGGGGGCCTCCGTGGAATCCCACAGAGTTTTCTGACAGCCCACTCTCCCGATGAGTGGGGAAGACCTCGGGACAGACAGAGAAGGAGAAAAATCTGGAGAGATGGTCCCTTGGGGTGGGCCGGTTCAGCTCAGCATCAGCCCCTTCCCCAAGGCTGCCATTCAGCCCAACACTTGTGGGCACCTCCCAAGTACGCGTGAAAGGGCATAACGTATGAGCATCTGCTGATAGACTCATATTCATCACTTCACAGATCATTTCCTTTGCTTTCAACGTGCATGCCAACGCTCTCACACAAAGCCACCGTGAGTCCTTTCTGTACCTCGTTCTTACTCCAACCCAGAAGGCCCAGGTCCCCACTGTCGCATAGCCTCCTGCTGGCCGGTCACATCATCTCGTCCTTCTGCATCTGGCCTGCCTCCCACTCAGACCATTGGTCATCTGAGAAAAGTCAGAGACCAGGTCCATAGCCAACAATTTGTATGCCGAGTGTTGAAATGGGAGAACTTCCTAAGCAATAGCATTTTCAACCACTCTTCAGCAACTGGTGTTTCACAAACGGTTCTTTCAAAGAGCCTCGTTTCATGTGAGCAAGCATTTGCTGACTCACTCAGGGAGCACACAGCTTCCAGGAAGTTTGGTTGGCAATACATGCTGGCTAAAAAAACCAAGGCAATTGTTTTTCCATTATTCCATTACCAGCTGGCGAGAGGATAAATACCAAAATAGGAATTTCTCCTTCAACATGAAGTCATGGAGACCACAGTGAGACAGGCTGGTCCTGTTACCGGCTGCCCATCTCAAATTATTTCAAATGTTGCTCGGTTCGAGCTCATGAGCTGTCAGCTGCAAATCTTCAACTCCTCCTACCTGCTTGTGTCACCGGAGGATCGTTCCAATGCCGGAACCCAAACATGCTCAGATGTAAAGAAATCAGCTCCCGAACGAAAAATTTGGTTATTGAAATTACAAAGGTAGATTCTACTTAGAATTTCAAAATCATTAAAGTCTTTCCTGAAGTCTGATTTTAAGAAGAGAATCCAGTAACTGGGCCACCAGTTCCTGAGAGAAATATCAGGGATGGCTGTTATGTGTCAAGCCTAAATTTACTTCCATATTTATTATTGTAACACTATTGTATTTCTGTTATAACCTTATTAAAACACAAAGGAAATGCTGGGAATCCAAATTTACTCATCAGCATTACAAAACAAATAACAACAATAGGGGAAGAAACTCAGTTTAGCAGAAACCAGGACTTTCCTTTGTAGCCCTGTCCTGAGCTCACTGCCCAGAGCACAGACCGGCTCGAGCCGGACATCACAAACTCACCCAGACTCCACCTCGGGGGCCTTAGTTATGAAATGTCCTCAGAAACACATCACTCAAGGGGTGTCTGGGTGGCTCATTTGGTTAAGTGACTGCCTCCGGCTCAGGTCATGATCTCAGGGTCCTGGGATGGAGACCCGTGTTGGGTTCCCCGCTCAGCGGAGAGCCTGCTTCTCCCTCTGCCTCTCTGCCCTGCTCGTGCTCTCCTGCTCTCTTTGTCAAATAAATAAATAAAATCTTAAAAAAAAAAAAAAAAACTTAAAAAAAGAAATACATCATTCAAGGGCATTCGATCCCAAGTTGACTTTTACTTATTGTTTAGATTTTAAGACTTGGCATCCGCTTTGCAGAGGGGGTAAGCTCTTCATGAGCAACTTTGGGAAGTTGGCTGCATCCAGGAATTCTGAGATATTCGGTTGCTAGGTGACATAAACCCACTTCTTAGAAAGTGTCACAGGACAGTCTAGAAGTGGTTGGGCCCTGAATTTAAATTATTGGTTAGGAAAAGCTTTGAAACTCTCTGAAGATAGGAAAGAAAAATAAGAAAAGGTGAGGCACCGAGAAAGACTGGCCTGAACTAAGCTCATAGATTTGGCTTAAATGATTTAAGAGAGCGTGAAAAGCCTAAAGAGAAATTCAGCGTACCATCTTGGAAGTTCACGAATGCCGGGATTAACCTTAAGTGTAAGCATAAACCATGCTGTTGAAACTGTTTCTAAGAGGGAGAAGAGCTTGAGAGCCAAAGTTTACACAGAGTCAATGGTCTTTCTGGCGCATGTTCTCAGTGCCAAGCTGAGGGATGATGGGAATGGACAACTCATGGCCCCTGGGCCCAACGGTTCCCAAAGACACTCCAGCCTCCATTTCTGCATCTGGGTGACAGGAAGCACTCTGGTGTGCCTGCTTCGGGCCAGACACACTTCGAAACACCCGATTCACACTGATGAGTCCATTCCCATAGCAACCTCGTGAAGAGGTGCTAGAGTCGTCTCCTTTTTATAGGTGAGGGAACAGAGGCAAGGCTAAGGAGCTGGCTGTGCCCGTGTTGGGCGGTGTGATCTTGCCCTTGCAAAGCTGCCCTTCTTGCCTCATCTGTTGAAATGGATCCAGGTCCCCTAAATGTGTTCCCTCTGTTTGTGGGTACAACGCTAAGCTTTGCTGGTCAAGGAGACAGAGACACTGCGGGACAGAAGGGTGCTGCTTCCTAGGTCTGAGACGTTTGCTCAGCGGGCTCCTATGAGTCAGGGGGCGCCCCCTCGCCCCCTCAGGTGGTACTGCAGCAGAATAACATCTCCCCAGCCCCCGCCCACAAGCCTCCTAGAGAGCTGGCTTCCAGCAAATTCCAGAAGGTGGGTTTTCAACAAGACCCATCAGCAGGGCACCACAGGAATGTCTGTCACCTGCTAAGCCACATCCTGTCTGGATGTCAGCTCAGGGCAGGAGGGGATGTTCTTTATGGGGCCGTGCTGCTTGGGGCGGTCCCCACCTGCAGGCTTTCGGGTTTCTTCTCCTCACTAGCCAATCCCTCATTCCTGCACTCCCTTTATGGTAAGTAATTATATACATTACACTTTTCCCGGCCAAGTTACTGTGCGGTTTCTCTCTTCTGATTGGATCCAGACCGATCCCCTAGTCTGAGGGCAAAAGACTGGGGGACAATGCAGCCAAGACCTGAATCCGGAGTCTGCTCCGGACCATGTTGTTCATCTCCTGTTGGCAGGGCCTGACACCATGTGCCCAAAGGGCAAAGCACCAATTCATCCTGGAGGGCAGGACAGCGGGCAAGGTGTCAGGAGAGAACCCAAAGGCTGAGTTTTTAAACAGTTTTTTGATAGACACGAAAACAAAAGGCATTCCAGAAAAGGGATGGCATATGCAGCACTGGGAGGAGGGAAGGTCAGTGACAGCCTCAGGATGGGGACGGAGGTGTCAACAGGGCTCCTGCTTAATCCCCCAAACCTCCTTCTCATTCTGGGGCAATTCTTAGTGAGACGGGAGGCGTTCAGGATTCTAGACCTTGCTCTTCAGTTTCCTTGCTTCTCTCCCGCCTGCTCTCCGGGAACAGACTTGCTCTGCGGGGCTCCCGACCCGGGTGGTCCTGGTGGTGAGAAGGTGGCAGAACAGAGGTCAGAGGCGCCCCCGGATCATGACAGCATTCTCACCGAGCATCATCCACAGCAGCCGCTCAGTTCATAACGCGGAAGAGAGAGTAGAGCGATACTTCCATTTTTGTAATAATTGCATTTATTTCCATTTTTGATAAAAACTAGTTAGTTCTTAACTCCCCAAACACACATTGGTAAATCATGAATATCATCAGCGTTGGAAGAGCAAATGGCAGAGTTGGAGCCACCGGGCCATTTTCAGCAACACAGCTTTGGTTCTGGGAGGAGGGGACTTTGCAGAAAACACTGAAGTCACCTATAATTTTTTGCCCCACCAATTCCGCTCTCATAGCTTCTGTGGAAATGGACTCTTTTTCTAAATGAAGAGAAGCACTCAGTGTGCGGTAGGGTCATGAGGACGGCTCTGCCCACCCCAGGTTGCAGACACACAGACTGCACGCTCCCTCGTTCCTGTAAGAGCACCTGCTTACTTCCAAGGTCAGCTTCCAGCATTACGTGGCCCACACATCCAGAGAGTATTTAAACATACCGGGTGCTGACCCAAAGTGTGGATTATTGGCAAAAGTTGGGATTGATACTTAAAAAGTGATAGACGGGGGTCCCAAAAATTTGATGAAGAAAAATAACCCCCTAGGATCTAGGCCCATGTGAACATAGGAGGCCTTTTTCTGTCTCGGCGGAAATGGTGGCGGGGGTGGGGGGGGATCAGAAGCAAATGGTAAATTCCAAAGTGGAAAACTGAGGGGACTGTATCTGGTGGTTTACATCGTGTCGGTCACCCCTCCACGGTCTTGTGGGCCCATTTCCTCAAGGGTTACTATTTCTGTGTGGTTTGGGCAAGCAATTCAGGAAGCTGTGTTTCCCTTCATGAAAAAAAATCAAAAGTAAAGTAAGTGTTTCATATCATGAAGATAATGCTAAGTTTAATGGTTGATCCAGCGTTTGAAGTCATCCCAGGTCCAGGGAGTGGGTCAGCAGGGCAGCCTACGGTTAGACCGCGTTCCTTTGAAGGAGCTGGTCCAGTAATTGCTAGGGAAGCAGGAGACAAACACGTCAAGGTCAGGTTCAGCATCTGCGTACCACACACACCTGCTGGCGGCCAGGCCGTTACCTTTTTGAAGACTTCAGCACGGAGTCTGTTACTCTGTAAGATCACTCTTTTCTTTTGTTCTTCTTTTTTCTTTTTCACTTCCGGCAAGTTATTATAGATTCTGAAACAGATTCAGAAAACACGCTGAATGGTAGCGAGACACCGTGTGCCTGGGGTGGATCTGTGTCCTGTCTTGTCAGCAGGCTCTTCCATTTCAAAGACAAGACCAGCTGCAGACGGGCCATCCCGGATCAGCGAGACGCCGAGACCCGGGGTTGCCCTGACAGTCTCCAGAACAGGCCGCCGAGGCGGGGACGGCGCCAACAGGCAGAGTCCCCCACCTCCCCCCGCTCCGCCCTGGGGCAAAGCTCAGAGGCCAGTTGTCTACTGGGCAGGCACTTCTCTGCCCCTCCATTCTCGGAGATAATTGATGACTTGCTTGCATCAAGTGGGAGATTCCAAACCTACTGCTTTCCACTCTGTGTAAACTTGCCCCAGATAGATACCTTTTTGCTACATATCTAAGCCTTCCTATGACTTAGAAAAGGAGCAGCAAATAAATGGAAGTAGCAGGAACTATACTGGAATAACACACACGTAAATGTGTTTACCTCTTAACCTGTTGCCTTCCTAACTAAACTGCTTCCAGATACATCTCAGGCCTAAGTATTATGTTCTCGTCCTGGTGTAAAATTAGGAGTTTCCAAGTTACAAGCAGGGACCAAGAGACCTTCTTCTGGACCCTTCTTTCCTACCTCTTCATAGAAACTGTGTCCGGATGCCAAATGATATTTCTGCAAGAATCCATAGACACAGTGGAGGGACTGTAGCCTGAGCTCTGGAGCTGCTGTATGTATGGCACATGGACAAACACCTTTTTTTTTTTTTCATTTTCTGTCATGTCTTTAAGTCAGACAAAATTTGTTTAATAGATTCTATCTTTAAAGTAATAATTAACAAAGTATAAAAATGTAAATGAGGACAATATTAGCAGGTGACATTATCTTGGTTATTGAGCTTGAGGCGAATCACCTGGCATAAATGTTCTCAATCCTCACAGCAGTTGAAAGAGGCACGTAGCGTTCCCTGCAGTATGACTGAGGAACGCAGGCCCCAGTGAGGTCAGGAGGCCCCTGTGAAGTCCCTCAGCTGGCTAATGGTGGGCTGGGATTCGAACCTTGGACTGTCACTCTATTAACACTGTCCCCCAACCACACAGTATAAAGTGTCCGGGAAATGCTTGTTCCACTGATACGGTTTGAATGAATCAATGAACACAGAGTTGCCATATCCAGGAACTAGTCAAGAAAGGGCCAGAGAGAGGACCATAAGGAATCAGGAGGAAAGCTGAATGTCTTCCCAAAGCTCCACAGTGGAAATCCCTTCAGATGCATAGAGACCATCGTCCTGATAATGACCATCTGAATCATGTGGGCAGTTTAAGATACAAATTCTTAGGTCTCACTCCTGGAGCTTCTGATGCAGTATTTTGTTAAAAGGGCTTCCTAAATAAATTATGGTACACCCATACAAAGCACCACACAGCAGACAGTTAAAAGCAATGAGGAAAATCTGTATCTGTATCTTTCGCCACAGAAAGACCTCACAGACGTATTATCAAGCAAAAAAAGCTCCGGAAAAATAATATATATATATATATATATATATATAGTATGATCCCATTTATGAATAAAAATTAGATAACTGTTGACGTACAAATAAAAGTCTGTTTTCAGGCAGAGAGAAAGGCCGGGAAGGATACACAGAAGGCTGATACCCATGGGTCTCTGGAGAAAGGACTGCGCCCAGGGAAATGTGGTGGGAGGGAAGACAGCCAGGAGGGGCTTTAGCTTTCTCTCTCCTGTTTGAGTTTTTAAAACGTGATTTAACAATACAACTAATAACAAAGAATACAGAAGAAAAGAAAGCTCCAGAGTGATTGTGGGTGAGTGAGGTCTGAAAACCAGGGTCAGAGCCCTCCCAGGACGCAGAATGAAAACGCAAGTACAGACTCCATCCAGGGGATGCACCGTAACCTAGCTCCTGCATCCTCCCTGGGCCTCCGTTTCCTCTTTCGGAAAGCCACAGGGTCAGCCACCCTGTTGACCCCGAATGCTGCTTTGAGAGCTAGTATTTTAACTGTGAGTCTCTGTAATAACAGCTTTGGGTTTGGGGACTGAGAAGGGAAGAGTTGGCTGAAATTTTTCACTAAATTGAAAAAGGAGTACTTCTGGCATGAGGTACACACAACTCTGCACGTCTCAAACAGCAAGTCTGAAAACCCAGTGGACCCTCAGAACCCCCAGTTAGAATGCCATGAATCAGGTCACTAATGGGATGCTCCCCTTCTCCTCATTTCCCCTCTTTGACTTATAAAGGGGCTCCTTGGCGCCCCTGCGTGGCTCAGTCCTTAAGCGTCTGCCTTCGGCTCAGGTCACGATCCCAGGGTCCTGGGATCAAGCCCTGTATCGGGCTCCCTGCTCAGCGGGAAGCCTGCTTCTCCCTCTCCCTCTCCCCCTGCTTGTGTTCCCTCTCTCGCTGTCTCTCTCTCTGTCAAATAAATTAATAAAATCTTTAAAAATATATATTTAAAAAATTAAAAAAAATAAAGAGTCTCCTTGCAGCTGATCAACGTTAGCCAATTATCATGGAAACGATCCTAAAAGCAGAGATTTTGTGCCTGGACTGTGGAAAAACATATTCTTCCCATTTCAGTAGTTTCTCTAAGCGCACTATCAATTGGGTTTAATTATTACAGTTCCTCCCAGTGCTAGATACTTTACTATAAACTCATGACATTTTCTGGCATGAACTTGGCCAACACTGCTGAGGTATTACCTTCTGGTTAGGAGGCCAGGGCTCAGAAAGAATGACCGCCTTTGTGTGATCAGGTGGGTGAGAATTAGTAGGAGTCTAGAATAGCAGCCGGCCAAGCAGAACAGGGAGAGTTTGCGAGCAGCAGAGCCGCCAAGCCCGCCAGGGACGGAGCGTCAGGAAGGCCAGCCTGTGGCCCTCTGTGGCTTTGCTGGCTCCCACATGCCACAGGCTTCCAAGGTTGGACTCCTTCCTGCAGGCTCTGACACTGGCAAGGCCCTCAGGAGAAACCACTTCTCTCCTCCTCATAAAATCACCTTCAAAGGTGCACAGTAACAAACAGCACCTGCCCACAGAGATGATGAGAGTGTGCAGAAGCATTCCCATTATGAGTCTGGGGATCTCTTAGAGACCAATTACTGGGTCGGTTCAGAATCCAAGACCTGCCACTTTCCTAAGGCTTTTCCAAGAATGGCATTAACATTCAGAGGTGCAATTGGACAACTACACTTCTTTTAGCCAGCATTTCAAATTCACGGCCAAGAAGACCTCAGACGTTAAAGGTGGACCTGGGAATAGTGACCCCTCTGGACAGCGCCTGGATGCAGTAGCCACCCCTCCCCTACCTCCCCCCACATTTTTCGACCCCACACAATAACCAAGTACCTTTTAGATCGCATGTGCATCTCCTTCTCTGAAATGTATCTTTCTTTGGGTTTGAACAAGTTATCTGGAATGAGACAGAAAGAGGATTAATTTCAGAAGGTATGGATATCGCACATTTCTAGAGAAACACTGTAGTGGACTTAGTACACACTTTGTTATTGATCCTTAGTCAATAGGATCAATAGTCTAAGCCCCAACCTGCTACAGATACTGCAGGACTCGGTAGACACTCATACACCAGAAACGCTTATATTGACATTGACAGCCAATAGATTCGTCTTGACAATAAATACAGGCATGAAGTACCAGGTTGGAATCTAACATACTTTGCAGACAGCGACCCTTCTGTGTGCTTCAGGTAGCAACTATTACAGTGTGCTCTGCAGGGGGCAGTGCCAAGGCAGCACCAAACTGTGCTTCAGGGTCACCCTGGGTGCAGAGCCCTGGGTGTCAGGTGGAAGATCTCCACACTAGGCTCCTGGTGCCTCTGAGGACAAGGAGATCTCCCAGCTATCACCAGAGCATTTTGAGAGCAGAAGTGGACACTCACAACTGGGACCCTCCATCAGGGACACTCAACCTCTGCATCCATTCTCACAGAGGACTAGCTCTTTCCCAATCAGAAAATGCAATGGACAGCAACATAGGAATAATGTCTGCCTAGTGTCCCTTGAGAAAGTACACATGGCTGAAAATCACTATGAGTCTGGAATGTTTTCCAGTGTGAGTACATACTACTAATCACAGTGATGTTTACAGATGGCACACTTAGAAATAGTATGTATTTTTTAAAAATAGTGTGCATACCCTTTTGTAATAACTCAAATTCCCACAAGGCTCTCAGCCCTATAGACTGGCCAAGAGCCTGTCACACAAAAATGCTCTTGGGGTACGTGTTGCATGGAGTACATCTGAGAAGCTGCCACACTTTCTGGAATACCTGGACAGTCACCAGTTCACCTCCTCCACTGAGCATAAGCAAATAGACAACTCAGCATCCTAGCTAAGTATCACAGAATTGACATGGGCTCCCTGTGATCCCCAGGGAAGACCCCAAGTATTTCTATTAATCTCTCCACATCAGCCTGTTCCCTCACTCAGCACTCCAGTCGAGCCACACAAGACTTCTCGGGCTTCCAAAATTATCCACGAATATACACGAAGGTGGGGTAGAGACAGGGAAACTAACAAATTTCTCCCCACTGGAGAAACAAAACACAGCTATGGATTTACAAACTGGAAACAATACAGTGGCTGAGCTTGGATTCTGTCTAGTTATTTAACATAAAAGAAAAAATGGCACCATTATTTAACTTCAAAGACAAGATTCAAAGGAGAAGTATAAGAGAGAGGACCAAAAAAATCAATAGAATTTTCCCAGGGAAAATGTCCTTCGTGTTTGGAAAGGCATGAGACAAAGGAGCAGTCAACACGTGTCACCGTGAAGATTTCCAAGATGCCTCCCAGTGCACACCCTTGGTTTTCACTCCTGCTAGGACCAGCCTGGAGGGGAGAGCCTTGATGGGGGCACACCTGGGTGGCTCAGTCAGTTAAGCGTCTGCCTTCAGTTCAGGTCATGATCCCAGGGTCCTGGGACTGAGCCCCACGTGAGGGCTCCTTGCTCAGCAGGGAGTCTGCTTCTCCCTCTCCTCCCCACCTGTGCTCTCTCTCGCTATCTCTGTCTCTCTCTCTCTCTCTCTCTCATAAATAAATAAAATCTTAAAAAAAAAAAGAAAGAAAGAAACATCCTGATGACTTCCCAGAGAAATGGGGTGCCCCCGTAAGGCAGCCAGGTCTTGGGAAAGTAATTCTGTGACTGCTTGAAGACTCCTACTCAGGCAAGGAGAAGGAACCTCTCCAAAAAAATTAGACCCAAGTCCGGATTAGCATTCCTCAGGAGCTACTCAAGATTAGGGCGTGGCCAACCCAGACAGATAATGGTGCTCCAAACATAGTTTGTAACATTTTAAAAATCTTAATCCAATTGTATGTGGTCTACTTTGGGAAATTAGATTTTTTTGTTTAAGTTTGTTTCTTTAGAGCACCTGATACCACAATGAAGCTTTGGTTCTATTTCCAAGAGAAAACAAAAGCAAATGTGAGCTCTTTGGCAAGTCCACTGTTTTGTTTTCTGAACTCTTCGTGGCCTGCTGTGCCTCAGCAGAAATTTAAATTCGGGGCAGAGACGCCCATATTAGGTGCCAAACAAGCAGGTCCGCATCCAAGACGGCCAGCCCCACCCCAACTGGTGCTCCTTGGTTGCTGACTCTTGAGTTTTTGTAAGAACACCAAACCCATCTGATGAGTAGTGAGACCTTTCTGGCGAGGATGAAGGAGAGAAGCAGCGGTTCTACCTTCCTGGAGGGAGGCTCCCAACCTCCCCGGAGCAAATGGAATCCTCTCTGGCATTTGGAGGAGGGAATGGCTTGGGACGGGGGAGGGAACGGCATGTCAGACCTGAGGGATCTGCATTACTATTTATAACAATACTCCTAGCATTTACTGGATGTTTCCCTACGTGATCTTCATACCAACCCTGTGACATGCGCACGATTTTTTACTATTTTAGGATTGTGGAACTCTGAGTGCAAAGGGCTGTTTCCTGTTCAGACTCATGAAGCGAACGAGTGAGTGGCAGAGCTGGGTGTCAGGCCGAGTTAGCCCAGCTCTGTCCGCACATTCTCTTCACCTCAGAACACGGCCACCCACTTGTACTGCAGAATCCGTATTTTGGTGGCCCTGGCGAGCGCTAGTCCACTTCCGAGGAGACCAACCCCAAATTTCTTTCTTTTATACTCCTTCCTCCTACATCTAATGAGCAACTCCTATATCACCAGGGGATGCTCAGAAGAAAAAAAAATAGGTAAGATCCTGCCACCGTGAACTTCATTTGTTGGGGGGAGGGGGGATCAGATAATTAACAAACTGGCTACAACATATCAGGCAAGTGCTCTGAAGGAATCGAAACGGGCCCACGTAGTGGCGGGACTGGGGTGGTCAGGAGGGCCCTTTGGGGGAGGAGGTATTTATTTATTTATTTATTTTTAAAGATTTTATTTATTTATTTCTTTAACAGAGCAAGACACAGCGAGAGAGGGAACACAAGCAGGGGGAGTGGGAGAGGGAGAAGCAGGCTTCCCGCCGAGCAGGGGAGCCCGACGCGGGGCTCGATCCCAGGACCCCGGGACCATGACCTGAGCCGAAGGCAGACGCTTAACGACTGAGCCACCCAGGCGCCCCCGGAGGAGGTATTTAAACCACAACCCAAATGACCCCTGGGACCAGCTGTGGGAGGAACTTGAGCTTGGGGGTGGGTAGGGGGAAACAATGAAGGCCACACTGGATGCAGCCTGAGGCAGCGAAGGAATGAGGCTCGGGGCAAAGTCAGGCCAGCAGGGGACACAAGATCCAAGACAGCAACATTCTCCACTGGGATACGCTTGACAACCACCTGGGGACCCTGACCGTGATGCGGGCACTGGAAATGAGAACCAGAATCTCCAGACTATGCCATTGGGCACCAAGACTGCGAACCATCCGAATTGGGTTCTGTAAGCCTGTTTAAGGAGCTTTGCAGGCCTGTTAAGGAGTTTTCCTTCAGAGTAGGAGAGATGGAGACTAGAGATGGCAGCGCTCAGACGGCGAAGTGGGGGGACTCCAGCCTCACCAACACTGCCCGTGTGCAAGGTGAGCTGTGGGCTGGGAGAAGAGGATCAAGAAGACTTCCAGACTGCAGGCCGGAGTGACCATTCATTTGATGACTGTTATGCTTTTACCTCTTTGGTGCTCTGAAGTAGAGACACAAAGGTAACTAAGACTAAGGGCTCACAGCCCAGGGTGAGAGCCACATAAGTAAGGCCTTTGGGTGCCAGGACCAACGGTCTGCATGGCGTAGAGGGCTCCTGGGGGAGTGGTCAGCCCTCCAGGGGGAGAAGCCATGCCCGGGAGACTTTGCAGCAGGAGGCAGCTGAGCTGAATCTCAAAAAGACGGACAGTGGGCTGGAGGAAGGGTGATCCCAGGGGAGAAATGCAGCAGGGCCACTGGGACCTGCCTGCAGCAAGAGATGGTTCTCCAAGCACACATACATGCAACAGGACCCGATGGGGCCTCATTTCAAGGAACAGAAACCATCCTACATGCGCTTTGTTCAAAAATACAGCAAAATCACATCTATCAATTCTCTTGGAAGGAAATTTTTCCTTTATGAAATTAAAGTGACTGTTGAGAACAATATTCAGCCTGCTTCTTGGTCTTTTATGGATTTTCCTTGAAGCGTTGTTATTCCAATTCACTGACAGACAGCAAAGAGAACCATGGTCATATTTACCTCTCATTAACGCTCAACTAGAAGAGGTTTGAGACTTGTTTTCAGTTTTTTCAATAAAATTACTAAGGTAAATTGCCCATTTCTGTATTTCTGGAAAATCCTTTTTTCCCGCCTGTGTGTCTGGCTCATGATTGTATCCAAGCCACGGGGCCTGTTGATAATTTAATTTGGCAAAGCCAGACATGCTTAAGCCCTTGCCTCTTTCAAAGCCAGCCAATAACCAGCTACCAAGATTTTGGTGCCTCTTGAGGCTGCTCTGGGCGAGTAGCTGAGCAAAAGCTGAGTCCCGATACCCCATCGATCTCTGTAAACACACCTGAGAGTTTATTAACGACCCTCACCCGCTTCATGTGTGAACACACACACATCTACACACATTCGGTGTCGCCAGGAGGCAGCAAGGGTCACCTAGACGGCAGCATGATTGGTTGTTTTGGGGGCTGGGGTTCTTCTCCCTCCTATCTACAGCTCTGATTGCAAAGCTTCATTTTCCCTATTGAACAAGTAATCTAAATGATAATCAAGTTCACCCTGGATTTATTATTACAATGCCCTCCCAGAAGCACATTCTCTGCAGTCACCCTGAGCACTTTGAAGAATCCTTCAGGTACTTGCTTCCCCCACATTAGAAACACCAAAACCAAGAGACGCCTATTGGAGAGAATCCAGCAGGGAGACAACAAACCACTTTGGAGTGTAGATACCAAGTCTACACCTCTCAGCATCTTCTATTAAA